GTTGTTCTATCGTCTGCTGCAGCCGCTAGACGGCTTTACGTCATCACTACGGTTCACACCACGTGATGTAAGCAGGCGCAGAGTCAGATGAGAGAGAGAGTGAGAAAGCCGAGGAGAGAGAGGACAGAGAGATAGAGAGAGATGGAGCAGAGAGAGAGAAGGAGAGAGCAGTCAGAGAGAGAGAGAGAGAAGAGAGAGGATCGAGAGAGAGGGACGAGAGAGAGAGAGAAAGACGAGAGCAGATGAGAGAGACGAGGGGGAGGAAGGGGCGGAGAGAGTGATGCAGATGAGAGAGGAGAGAGAGAGAGGAGGGAAGAGGCGAGAGGGAGAGGAGAGACAGAAGAGAGAGAGAGACCGAGAGGAGAGAGCAGAGAGCGAGCAGAGGACAGCAGAGAGTGAGAGAGAGAGAAACGCGCAAGACCGACAGACGACAGAGCATGAGTTAACGCAAATCACAACAACCGCGGCAAGCTTATTTTCGGTGATGGCGATTCGGCCGACGGAATGCAATGAGATGCTGATAGCAAACAAGGATTCATAGCTGTCAGAGATCTTCTTACATGTCCTATCGCGTAAACCTATCAACTACCATAGCTGGCGTTAGAGAGCGTTTTTTATCTTCGCAATATACTCACGTATACGCCATGGAGTGCCATCAAAAAAATTATACGACACCTCACGCCCAGCGAACCACTTTCACGCTGAAGATGACGGTAAGAAAGAGAGGCGTGTCAGGAGAAGAGAAACTAGATATGCTGTTATGAGCGGAAAGCAAGAGAGCTAGAAAGAGAGCGAGAGAGATAGGACCAGAGCCGAGAGAGAGAGAGAGAGAGGATGAGAGGAGGAAATGAGGGAGCGGATGACAACAAAGCAGACGGATTGCTAGAAACGTAAAGATCGGAATAGGTACAGACAGATCTGTCAAGGAGAGGAAGTAGAGCGTGCGCAGAGCGAGAGCGAGAGATGAGAGATGAGAAGAGAGAGAGAGAGAGAGAGAGAGAGAGAGTAGAGAGAGAGAGAAAAGACAGTTGCCGCTTGCAAATTCTTAATTATATCTTATAATTTTAAGGAAGACTCTTATTCTATATCGCGCGTGTCTTTCTCATAGCGGATATAGAATAAGAAGTCTTTCTTGAACATTATAAGATAATTATTAAAGAATTTTCCAAGGCGGGCATCTCGGTTGCCGCTTTTGACGCGCTCTCTCTCTCCCTCTTTCTTCTCTCTCCCTCTTCTCTTCTACCTCTCTCTCTCTCCCTCCTCTCTCCCTCTTTCTTTCTCTCTCACCCTCTCTCTCCTCTCTCTCTCTCTCTCTCTCCTCTCCCTCTCTCTCCTCTCTCTCTCACCTCTTTCTTCTCTCTCGCCTCTGCTCTCTCTTCTCTCTCTCTCTTCTCTCTCTCCATCGATACCTCTCTCTCGCTCTCTCTTCTCCTCTCTCTCTCCCTCTCTCACTCGCCTCTCCCTCCTCTCGCCTCTCTCTCTCTCCCTCTCCCTTCCTCTCCGCCCTCTCTCTCTCTCGCCTCTCCCATCCCTGCTCCCACCTCTCACGCTCTCTCTCTCTTCTCTCTCTCTCTCTCTCTCTCTCTTTCTCTCTTCTCCTCTCCCTGTCCTCTGTCTCTCTCTCTCTCTCTCTCTCTATTTTCTCTCTCTCTCTCTTCTCTCTCTCTCCCATCTCTCATCTTCTCTCTCTCCCTCTCTCTCTCTTCCTTCCTTTCCCCTCCCTCTCTCCCTCTCTCTCTCTCTCCTTCCTCTCATCCCTCTCTCTCGTCCTCTCTCAATCTCTCTTCTCTCTCCCCCTCTCTCTCTCTTAGATAATTATATTATCTAACAATTTACGATTATCATCGCATCCGAAGTCAAACTTTCGTTCTTCAACGTTTCCTCTACTCGCAGCAAAAAGATTTTTCTCGGTTCGTCGCTCGTTAATTACTGTTGCTAGTCGCCGAAAAAGGTCGCCGATTCCATAATAAACGCTTGCCGTGAAGAATGACGGGGCAAAAAATCGACGACACACGCGCACGCGGCGAAGAATACATAATTAATGAAAATTAACACGCGCTCGATCGAAAACGCGTCATCCGTCGCTCCTCCTCCTCCTTCTCCTCCCTCCTCCTCCTCTCCCTCCCCCTTCTTCTCCCCTCCTCCCCCCTCCCCTCCTCCTCCTCCTCCTCCTCCTCCTTCTCCTTCTCCTTCTCCTCCTCCGTCGCCGCCGCCGCTGCTGGCCGCCGACAAATTTGGAGAACTTCGCAAAAAGCAAAAAAACATTAATCTTCGAATTATGCATTTCCCACGTCGAGCGTTATTCGGAGAGACGCGTTGCCATAGAAACAGCTCGTCTGTTATTTCTCGCCCCGCGCGCGCCGCCGTTGATGCGTGCGGCGGTGTGCGGCCCTGCGCGAATTTTCACTCATTTGCCAATTTCGGCAGCGTGTGCGATCGGCTGCCATCCAGACGAGCATTGTCCAAGTTGACAGCAAGGCGGGAAATTAAAAAAGAGAGCGCTCTGCGGGCCGGGGGGAATATATTACGGCTTTGTTCAATAGATAATCCATCATAACTGCGATCGTATTCTGTGAAGCGAATGGAAGACAGGCGCGGGGGATGGGGGGGGTCCAGCCTGTGCTGCGAGCGCCACACTGCGGTGGTCGTGCGTGTATGAGATTTGCGTCCGTAACAAGCGCGTCTCCGTGGCTGCAGATGGTCTATTTTGGGCGCACGCACGCACCGCACGCACGGCGCACGCCACGCACACTCACGAGGACACGAACACAAAACTCCCATCCACCATCCTCAGCCTCCATCCTCCCTCCCGCATCCACCAATTCCTCACCATCAACCATCCCCCCATCAACTCTCCCTCCCAATCCACCCATTCCTCCCCATCAACCCTCCCTCCCCATCCCACCATCCTCAGCCTCCACCATTCCCCTCTATCAACTCTCCTCCCCATCCACCATCTCTCAGCTTCCCCCTCCCTCCCCATCCACCATCCCCCCATCAACCCTCCCTCCCCATCCACACATCCCTCCCCATCCACCATCCCCAGCCTCCCCCTCCCTCCCCAATCCACCATCTCCCACACCCCTCTTTCCCCATCCACCATCCCTCAGCCTCCCCCTCTCTCCCCATCCACCTATCCCCCCCATCAACCCTCCCTCCCCATCCACCATCCTCAGCCTCTCCCTCCCCCATCCACCATCCCCCCATCAACCCCTCCCTCCTTATCCACCCGTCCCTCCCCATCAACCCTCCCTCCCCATCCACCATCCCTCCCCATCAACCCTCTCTCCCTATCTCCAATCCCATCCCCATCCACCCTCCCTCCCCATCCACCATCCCCCATCAACCCTCCTCCCCATCCCACCCTCCCTCCCCATCCACCATCCCGCATCCACCATCCCTCCCCATCCGCCATCCCTCAGCCTCCACCATTCCTCCCCATCCACATCCCTCCCCATCAACCCTCCCTCCCCATCCACCATCCCTCAGCCTCCCCCTCCCTCCCCATCCACCATCCCCCCATCAACCCTCCCCACCCATCCCTCCCTCCCCATCAACCCTCCCTCCCTATCCACCATCCCTCAGCCTCCACCATCCCTCCCCATCCACCCTCCCTCCCCATCTAGCCTCCCTTCGCCGGTCCTCGATCCTCATATTAATATATATGGGATTACATCATTTCTTAATTCAATTTATTCTTGAAATTTTCACCTATAATTCCTGTCTCGAATGCGCTATTATTATCAAATTTCATTTGCAATGCAATTAGAGAATGTCTGGCAATAATTGGAGAAAGATTACCGTATTAATTTCAGGATACGCTTGGCGACGATCAAAATCATCATACATTCGCAAAATTATTCATAATATGCAAATTTACATTTCCAATCGGATGACGAAACACAAGTGCTCTACAATGTACGTGTAATGCCTATGATTCGATTGGCCAGTAAAGTAAATAATGGTATCGGAAATGGGCGGTTAATGATGGAAAGCTAATGCCATGATGAGTAATTCAATCATCATAGAAGCAGTTCATAGTTTCATAGCCGGGTATGTCTTACAGAGGTAGACGCATAAAATTATACATGTGTATGCGGTTATCACGTATAGAATATGCGTACACACGCGAGCGGTCATTTTTTTCCGTTTGTAATTTATAATAGCGGGAAGTACAGCACCGCGCATGCGTACTGCTGCTGCTGCTGCTGCTGCTGCTGCTGCTGCTGCTGCTGCTGATGATGATGATGATGATACTGATAGTGCTGCTGCTGCTGTTGCTGCTGCTGCTGCTGCTGCTGCTGCTGATGATGATGATGATGATGATGATGATGATGATGATGCTGATCATGATGATAATGCTGATGCTGTTGCTTCTGCTGCTGCTGCTGATGATGATGATGGTTCCATGTGATATTGGAAGCTGCCAGGGGCGTGCGTTGGGGCGGTCAGGGGTGTTGGTGATACTGCTGCTATACTGCCTCTTTATCCGGGCTGGATAGTAGTTAGCGTCTTTCTGTGTTGAGTCAGCCAACCCCACGAGAATACTAGCTAACAGGGGGAATTGAGCTTTACACTCGCAATATATAGTCGAGAGAAACTGTGTGACAAGCATGTGTGGTGGGTGGAGCACCGCGGACAATTCTAGCTGTCACCTGCAAAACGTAGCAATTAGACATTATGTCGCAGTCAACGCTGACACAGCGCGCGTGCACGCAAACATGAGTGTGTGTGTGTGTGTGTGTGTGTGTGTGTGTGTGTGTGTGTGTGTGTGTGTGTGCTGTGTTGTTGTTGTGTGGCGTGTGTGTGCGTGTGTGTGTGTGTGCACGTGTGTGCATGTGTGTGTGTCTGTGTCTATGTACGTGCGCGTTCCTGTACGTGCATGCGTGTGTGTGTGTGTGTGTGTGTGTGTGTGTGTGTGTGTGTGTGTGTGTGTGTGTGTGCTGTGTGTGCTGTGTGTGTTTACGTGTGTAGCCCAGTGTCGCTCCACGGTAACCTACCTTAGTGACTGCAGGCCACCGCCATACTTAGACGGGGACATCCCGCGACGCTAATACTGACGCTGACGCTTACGTCGTGTCAGTGTGACGCAGCATGTGCCGGACGCTGACGCTAACCCGCAATCAAACTTTGAAGCTTAGTTTTCCAAACCGACAATCAAAGTTCGATGCTTGTTTTTCCACTGCAGCACGACTTCCGTTACACACACACACGTCCGGTCGCGCGCGTGAAACGCTTGTCGGCAGCAGCCAGATAGATGCGCTGTTGCGATGGAGGGGCTAACAATCCCTAGTGATAGAAGCCTGCCACCAGCTCCCTACTCCACGTAGGAGTGTGATGTCATTCTTAATCCGATCTTAAAAATTCAAACGTCTCTGCTCTCGCTCTCTCTCTCTCTCTCTCTTCTCTCTCTCTCTCTCATCTCTCTCTCTCTCTCTCTTCTCTGATCTACCTCTCTCTCTCGCTCTGCGCTCTGCGCGCTCTCGCACTTCTCGCCGTGCCCTGCTGTCTTTCTCTTTCTCTCTCTTTCTTTCTCCTTTCTATCTATCTCTCTCTCTCTCTCTCTTCGCTCTTTCTTTCTCTATCGTGTAATACTGTGGGCATGATGCATCGATCACGTGACCTCATCACGACCCTCAAAGTCCCGTACTCTCTATTAAACAGTGTCAACTGCGAACCAGCGTCATCGGGTCAAAGGTCAACGTCGAAGTGGCGTGTTTTTCTCTCGCATTACGTCACGAAACTCGCACGTCGGCATTCGCTCGCGCGTGCGCACAGATCGCCGCTACAACGCACGCGCACTTCCGGCGTGATTTCCTGTGGTGGCCGCACAACCGAGCGAACGGATGAACGGACAGTCGGAGCGACGACGGACGCCACGGACGCACGCACGGACGCACGCACGGACGGACCGACGAACGGAAGGATTCACGCACGCACGGCACGCACGCGCACGCAGCACGCACGCAGCGCACGGACGGACAGACGGGCGGACGACGGACGCACGCACGACGCACGCACCGACGGACCTGACGAACGGCAAGGATTCACGCACGGGCGACGCACGCACGGACGGACAGACGGACGACGGACGGTCGAAGCGTGCGCTGGCAGCCGACGTTAGCTATTGCCCCGACACGCGAGGTTATCTGTGCTAATGTGATCAGACGTTCCCCTGACATCTAGGCCTAGTTGATATAGAGCTGCGTGGCGCGATGTGAGGGCGTGGAGTGATGACTTGCGGGCCATGCACGCACACACGCACGCATAAACATGAACGCACGCACGCACGCACCGCACACACACACACACACGCCACACACACAAACACACACACACACACACAAACACACACAAACACACACACACACACACACCACACAACACACCACACACACATGCACGCACAAACAAACCACGCCACGTCTGCAAGGGAGGTGGTTGGTGTGGGTGGGGGCGGATCCGGTAGGGACTGACTGAGTCACGAGTCATTCCGTTGACTTTCGTTGATTAAATCACGGAGGCGTGATGAAAGTAGGCGCGCTCTCCGCTCTGAAATAAAACCGAAAAGCACCGCGTGCCGACGTCTGAGAAGAGGGAGGAAAAAGAAAGAAGGGGAGAGAAGGGGAGAGGGAGGAGACGAGAGAGGGAGCAGGGAGAGGGGGAGAGGAGAGGGTGAAAAAGTAGCGAGCTCTGGCATTCTGAATAACTGAAAGCACCGTCGTGTCCGACGTCTGAGAGAAGAGAGGAGGAGGAGAAAAAGAAAGAAGGGGAAGAGAGGAGGAAGCGGAGGAGAGAGAGAGAGAGGGAAGAGAGGAGGGGGAAGCGTGTGAAAGGCTAGTGAAGCCTCCGCCGTCCTGAATTGCTGAAAGCACCGCGGTGCCGACGTCTGAGAGAGAGAGGGGAGGAAAAAAGAAAGAAGGGGAGAGAGGCGGGAGGGAGGAGACGAGAGAGAGAGAGGGAGAGAGGGGAGGGGGAGAGGTGTGAAAAGCAGCGAGCTCCGCCGTCTGAATGCTGAAAGCACCGCGTGCCGACGTCTGAGAGAGAGGGGAGGAAAAAAGAAAGAAGGGGAGACAGGCGAGAGGGATGAGTAGAGAGAGAGAAGAGAGAGGAGAGAGATGAGAGGGGAGAGGGGGAGAGGTGTGAAAGGCGCGAGCTATCGCGTCTGAATGCTGAAAGCACCGCGTGCCGACGTCCTGAGAGAGCAGGGGACGAGAAAAAGAAAGAGGGAGAGAAGGGGAGAGGGAGGCAGATAGAGAGAGAGAGAAGGAAGAGGGGAGGCGGGAAGGTGTGAAAGCAGCCGAGCTCCGCGCGTCTGATACTGAAATCACCGCAGTGCCGACGCCTGAGAGAGAGGGGAAGGGGAAAAAAAAAGAAAAGATAGGGGAGCCACAGGGGAGAGGGCAGGAGAAGAGAGAGAGAGAGACGAGAGAGAGAGGGAGAGAGAGAGGGGGAGGGGAGAAGGGAGAGAGAGCGAGGAGAGTTGGAAGGTGTGAAAAGCAACGAGCTACTCGTCCTAGAATGCTGTTAAAGCACCGCGTGCCAGAACGGTCTGAGAAGCAGAGGCGGGAGAGGGGAGAGGAGTGAGAGATACGGGAGAGAGAGGGGAGAGAGAGGGGAGAGAGAGGAGGAGAGAGGGGAGGGGGAGCAAGAAAGAGCAGGAAGACGGTGTTTTATCTGTTGTCCGCTTTCGGCCCATTTTTTTCGCTATTAGAATGTACTACGCATACACGCGCGCAGCGCGCACACACATGGCGCATGTACAAAAACAAACGTGCTCGAACACGTGCATGCAATGAAACACGTAACAACCACATCACTTATCTAGGTATATTATATATATATATATATATATATATATATAATATATCTAAATGTTCTTGGTGCAGGCATATTTAACCAAATTGTAGAATCAGGCACTGAATTTTACAATAATATGGATAATATCTTTGGCTTGCGCCTCTTTTATAAACATTTTGGTCTCCTTTGAAATAACTCATCGATGGGCAACTCTTCGGTTATGTGATATGTTTGATTCATATCATTGTGTCGCATTTTAAATTGTAACTATTCTTTGACGCAACGGATCACGTTATTATAGACTTTAGTAATATATTCTAAAGATGGTTTATTAGTTCTGTAGTGATAATAATTTTACGAACGCAACATTTAAGTGATATCTACATCTCGTCCATGGCACATATATTATTGTAAAAGTATCATCAAATTTCAGTTTATAGCTGCCTGATATAATCTTCTTGTATTGGCAAAAAAAATTTCTTTAATTTCGTTAACACATATTTGCCAATCAAACTCTATTATCTATCTATTATGCTATCTATCTATCTATCTATCTATTAATCTATCTATCTATCTATCTATCTAATCTATGCTAATCTATCTTCTTATCTATCTGCTCTCATCCTTATATATATTATAAATAAATATATATTATATAATATATCTTAGTTTATGTTCGAGCGGCATTGACATTTTTTGAGACCTGTCCAATTGCAGGCTCTGGCAAGGCAGCCCTGCTGTGTAACTGGCATAAAGTAAGCGTGTAATAAGGAGAAAGGACAGGAGGGCGCATGGTAAAAACCCATTCTAAGCTCACACACTTTACCCAGGCTGTGGCGACAGGGCGTGGTGCAAATGTGAATGTGTTGCCTTTACTTTACTTCACTGTCCGACATATGAATCATGCAGATAGCTTATGAATGAACATCTGTAGCCGCCGGGGGCGCTGTCGCCTGGGTAGCGAGAGCTAGCACGTAGGCCGTGGGGGGGGGGCGCTCCGCCATGTCGTGAAATGTGTCAGATTAAAAACACGGAACACGGGATGACGTGTACACCGACTCCTGCTTCCCCTGCTGCTGCATGACTAGCTGCATGCATACGCTGGTAATTCTCTCTGGTTAGAGTACTGCTCTCTCTCTCTCTTCTCTCTCTGTCTCGCTCTCTCTCTCTCTCTCTTCTCCTGACTCTCTGCTCTCTCTCTCTCTCTCTCTCATTTTCTTGATTCTCTCCTCGTCCTTATGCTCTCTGTCTCCGCGCTCTCTCTCGGTCTCTCTCCTCTCTCTCTCGTCTTCTCTCTCTCTCTCTGCTCTCTGCGCTTCCTTAGTTTCATGTATGTGGGACTGTAACTCAATACCCCTTTCTATACTGTTAGTAAAGTCTCCTTCTCTCTCCTATCCCTTTTCCATTGCATATCACTTACCGTCTCTTACGCTTTCCATTTCCTCACACTCCCTCCCCTTCCCCTTTACCGTTCCTCCAACTTTCCATTCCCTTTGCCTCTCCCTACCCCCCTACAATGTCAGCCATATCCCCTCGCCCCGCTCTCAACTTTTTCAGCGTTCCATTGCAGAGGTATCATGTAGATTAACAGCGTGAATAACGCGCGCTATACACATAAATGGCGATTAAATCTTCACCCTTGCTACTCGCTCCCGCGGCCGCCCCGTCCCTCCCTCCCGCTCTCTCGCTCTCTCGTCTCTCTCATCTCACTCTCTCTCTCTCTCTTTCTTCTCTCTCTGCTCTACATGGCTTTACGACCTTCCGACGACTCGCCCATTCACACCGCTTCCCCCATCACGGCCCCCCACCATCTCACATCTGCTCCTCCTCAGACGTTCCCCACCATCTCAGCGCTCGACCTCCTCACGTGCGCCCACCCTGTTCTCAACCTCTACCTCCCACTCACCGCCCCCCACCATTGCAGCCACTGCCGCCCTCACTGCGCCCCACCTGTACGCGTCTGATCGAGTATCACAAAAAAACGCGCGCGTCTATTGTTTTAGCGCTAATTGGCGCCACCTATAACGCTTGTCGACGAACACGTGTGCGTCGATGATAGAGCGCCATTGTTGGGTCCGGGGTGCTCGACACGAGCGTCTCCTGAAGATTATATGCACGTGGCAGATGCATACACTCTGCGGTTGCCACAATATTATGTCGAGAGCGCGTGCTTGACTGCACCTAACTTCATGGCGCCCGCTAAGCACTGGATGGGTTGCGGTGGTGGTGTGTTGCCAGGAT